CCCTGGGTTGGGAAGATGCCCTGGAGAAGGGAACGGCTACCCACCGCAGTATTCTGGCCTGGAGAATTCATGGACTGTATAGTCCAGGGGGTCGCAAAGAGTCAGACACGACTCAGTGACTTTCACTTTCATACAATACTTGTCTTTTTCTGACTTACTTCACTTTGTATAACAAGAGTTAAACATCACTACACATCACTACAAATGACCCAATTGTGTTCCTCTTTATGCCTGAACAATATTTCATTGTATATATGTACTACAGGCTTCCCAGGTGGCCCACTGGTAAAGAATCTGCCCGCCAATGCAGAACACATGGATTCTATCCCTGGCTTGGCAAGATCCTCTGGAGAAGGGGATGGCAACACACTCCAGTATTCTTGCCTGGAGCATCCCATGGACAGAGGAGCCTGGTGGGCAGCAGTCTATGGGGTCGTAAAAGAGCTGGACACGATTTAGTGACTAAAACAACAGCAACATATATGCACCAGATCTTCCTTATCCCCTCATTTATTGATGGACATTCAGGTCGCTTCCGTGTCCTGATTATTGTACACAGTACTGCAATGCGTACTGGGGTGCATGCGTCATTTCGAATTATGGTTTTCTCAAGGTATATGTCCAGTAGTGGGACTGCTGGATCATATCAATGCATGTATGCAGAATGTAGAAAAAATGGTACAGAGGAACCTATTTGCAGGGCAGGAAGTGAGACTCGGACATGAAAAAAGAACTTGTGGACATCGTGTGGGAAGGGGAGCGTGGTGTGACCAGAGAGAGTACCACTGACATATATATACGACATATATATACTGATATATACACACAACATATACACTGACATATACACACAACATATACACTGACATATACACACGACATATACACTGACATATACACACGACATATACACTGACATATACACACGGCATATACACTGACATATACACACGGCATATAGACTGGCATATACACACGACATATGACACTGACATATACACATGGCACACACACTGACATATACACACGACCGTGTGTAACACCGATAGCTAATGGGAAGTTGCTGTATAGAAGAGGTAACTCAGGTCGGTGCTCTGTGATGACCTGGAGGGCTGGGAGGTTTAAGAAGGAGGAGATATGTGTACAAATTATATGCTTCGGAGAGGAGATATGTGTACAAATTATATGCTTCGGAGAGCAAGGGAAAATATCTCTATGTGTACTTGGATTTTTTTTTCTCCCCAAAATAATCCTCTATTATCCTTATGCTCGTTATGCTAAAGTCACTGCCGAGTCAACAGAGCCTGTTTATCGTCTTGGTGGCTAGTCCTCTGTGAGTGCCTGCTCTCCACAAACATCCAAGTCCAGAGTTGATGGTAGCAGAGAGGTGACTTCAGCCCTGGAAAAAGGGCATCGTGTGAAGGTTAAAGTGCAAGCGTCCTGGGACTTCCCTGGTGGTTCCAGTGGTGGAGAATACGCCTTGCGGTGCAGAGGGTTGGAGGTTCAGTCCCTGGTTGGGGAAGTAAGATCCCCCATCAAGTGGATGAATTAATAAGCTCATGTGTTCTACAAGTACTGAGCCCAGGCGCCTCAAGGAGAGGGGCCCTGGTCCCAGAAACTATACAGAGTTCCCCAAGCTCTGGAGACCACACACCACAGCTAGGGAGAACCCACACACTGCAGTAAAGAGAGTGTGCACTGCAACTAAAGATCTCCCATGTTGTAACTAAGACGGGACACACCCATAAGTAAATAAATATTAAAAAATAAGTAGCAGGTATCTTTTAATCATTAATCATTTATGCTGGCCCTCTCTGGACTATTCCCCTTATTCTCCGTGAAGCAGGCATACTTTAAATTCACAGTGACTCTTCACTGCTTTCAGACGAAAAGCGTAATTTATGGCGCCTCTTCTAACCACCTTACTTTTAAAACAAAAAGGTTTTGCAAATGGGTTTTCAACAATCATTCTAATAGCATTCTATTTTTATGGTAAATGCAAATAGTTAAATAGCAAATGATCTATAATAACACAAAAGGTTTCCTAAGAGTAGACTGCTAAAAACTGAAGTGGTGTGAGATTTTGGTAGAAATCATTCTATGTAGTTTATAATAAAAAGCGTGGAAATAATAAAACTTAGATCCATTAAAGAAATGTCAGTCTGTTAAGAAAGGGAAAACAGCAATTATTTCGAATTTGAGACAATCTTTGTGCCAGGTTTTCAAGGATCTTAGGGTGAAAAAAAAAAGGAAAATGGGATGGATTACACAGACTTCAGATAAGAGTGTTTCCAACAGGAAGCTGGAGGAATGTGGTGCAGATATGTGGCTTCTGGGACACCTGAGCTGTTCTAAGTGTAACAATGGACTTCTGAAATGCACAATGCCAAGTGATTCTGTTTTTCTCTTCAAATCACACTCCAAAAAGTAACCAAATCCTATGTCTCTCGTAGTATACTTTGATGGCATCCAAAACTTGTACATAACACAATAGCATTGGTTTGTCATGAAAGAAGTTGGTCACATTTGTTCAGAGAGTCAAATAACACTTAGTATACAGGAGTCAAGTGCCCTAGAAACTGCCTATGAAGGTAAACATCAGCTAAATGGTTTCAGGAGCATCATCCAGGTCTTTTGGAAGAGGGCAATTTTAGCATCTAGGATCTCAAGTGAAAGGGCAAGTTGCTCAGTTGTGTCCAACTCTTTGCGATGGACTATGCAGTCCTTGGAATTCTCTAGGCTAGAATACCAGAGTGGCTTGCCTTTCTCTTCTCCAGGGGATCATCCTGACCCAGGGATCAAACCCGGGTCTCCTGCATTGCAGGCGGATTCTTTACCAGCTGAGCACCAGGGAAGACCAGGATCTCAAGATATTACTCAAAATACTGAAAGTCCCTGCAAACACCCTTTTTTTTCCCCCTAACTTTAAACTTTGTATTTTGTATTGGGGTACAGCGCAATTAACACTGTTGTCATAGTTTCAGGCGGACAGCAGAGGGACTCAGCCATACATGTACACGCATCCTTTCTCCCGCAAACTCCCCTCCCATCCAGGCTGCCACGTGACACTGAGCAGAGTTCCCTGGGCTGTCCAGCAGTTCCTTGCTGGTTCTCCATGTTAAACACAGCCGTGTGTCCATGTCCACCCCAGACTCCCTGACTGTCCCTTCCCCCATCCTTCCCCCTGGTGACCATCAGGTTATCACAGAGTATTGAGCAGAGTTCCCTGTGCTGGCCAGCAGGTCCTTGCTGGTTCTGCACGTTAAATACAGCAGCGTGTCCATGTCCATCCCAGACTCCCTGACTATCCCTTCCCCAGCCTTCCTCCCTAGCAACCATAAGTTCATTCTCTTAAGTCTGTGAGTCTGTTTCTGTTTAGTAAGTTTAGCTGTATCATGTTTAGATTCCACACATAAGGAATGTCATAGGACACTTTTCCTTCTGTGTCTGACTTACGTCCGTCAGTACGACACTCTAGCAAACAAACCTCTGTTCTTGGAGTACGCAAACAGAAAACCCACAATACTCATGCGTGCATTGTGGCTTTTTCAAGGGTGCCACCCGTAGCCTACTTTCCAAGGATTTAACACATTTCCTCCGAGGAAGCCAGTAGAGCCTCAATGGTTTACTCACGTTGGAGAAAAATACACCATAAAGTCACTGAATTAATGATGGCCCTCCTACATGTTCAATTCTGGCAGGGTTCGTATAACAAAGCCACTATTTTTTAAAGACTTTTTTTTTTGATGTGGACCATTTTGAAAGTAATCATTGAATTTGTTACACCACTGCTTCTGTGTTCTGTTTTGACTTTTTTCACCAGGAGTGAAATGTTAGCTCCTAGACCAGGGATCGAACCTTCACCCCCTCCATTTGAAGGCGAAGTCTTGACCAGTGGACTGCCAGGGAAGTCCTGATAATAACTTTAAACGGAGTATAATTGATTTTTATTATATTATATATATTTATATATTTTATTATATATTTATTTATATAATGTTTTATTATATATTTCATTGTTTTTATATTTATAAATACATAAATGTTTTATATTTTATAACATAATGCTTATATTTTAATATATGATTTTATTATATTACATATTAAACTTATATATTATATATTTTATATATTATATAAAATATGTTTTATATTTATTTTTATTATATATTTCATTATATTTATAAAATTTATTATATTTAATAATGTTTGTTATATTTTGTTATATTTATTATAACAAATATTTATTATATTTATTATATTTAATAATATATTTATATTTTAATATACATTTATTGTATTAAAATATTTAGTTTTATATATTTATTATAGCAAATAAATACTTGTTATCTTTATTATATTTAATGTTTATTATATTTTAATATACATTTATTGTATTAAATATATTTATATTTTTATATTATATTTATTATAACAAATATTTGTTATATTTATTATATTCAATATGTGTATTATTATATTTTAATATATATTTACTGTATTAAAATATATTTATATTTTTATTATATTGCATTTATGTTTATTATATTTAATATATGTATTATATTAAATATATTATACTTGTATTATACTTTTTATTATATGTATTACATTTTATTATGATTATACTCAATATTTTTATATCGCGTCACAAGGTCGTACCCCAGAAGCTAATCCTGCAAATGAGCCGCACTTCAGTGGAAACATGGATAAGCGTGCCGTGAACCACTCACCGCCCCACAGTGTGAGCCCGCGTGTTTTCCCATGTCTCTGTGATGCAGGGCACTTTCTCCCATGGGTCCGCGCTTCCCGGCGCTCGGCGCATCTCTGACCGACGCCCCGGCCCCGGCGCGCGCACGTGCCGCTGCGAGGCTGGAGGCCCCGCCCCGCGCCGCCCCGCCCCCACCCCACGCCCCGCCCTGCGCCCCGCCCCGCCCCGCCCCGCGCCCCGCCCCGCGCCCCACCCCACGCCCCGCCCCGCGCCCCGCCCCGCCCCTCACCTTTGTACAGAGTCCTGGGCAGCTGGCACGTGTGCCCGCAGCCATTGGGGCAGCACTTCTTCACCCCGGAGCACTCGGCGTCCGCCTCGCAGCTCTCCACGCAGGCGGCGGCAAACCCGCTGGCCTTCTCCGGGGAGGGGCAGTCCCCCTGCTTCACCGACAGGATGTACTGGAGGAACTCACAGCTGGTCACGCACTCGTAATTCTTCTTGGGGAACAGAGACTGCGAGAGAACGAGAGAAAGCCGTAAGTGAGACTCACGGGGTCTGATGTCCACGGCACCGGAGACGCAGGCCAAAATTCTAGAGCAACTTCAGTGTCCTTCAACAGAGGGGTAGATAAAGCGGATGTGGTACCTATATAGGATGGAATATTACACAGCTGTTAAAAAGAATGAAGTCATGTCATCTGCACCAACACGGAGGGACCTGCAGATGGTCACACTGGGTGAAGAGAGTCAGGCAGAGACGCAGAAGCATTGTAGGACACCCCTTATGTGAACCATCTAAAGAGAAATGATACAAACGAACTTAGGTACAAAACAGAAATAGATGCAGAGACTTAGACATAAACTTATGCTTGCTAGGTTGGGGAAAGGATGGGGGAAGGGATAGTCAGGGAGTTTGGGATGGACATGGACACACTGCTGTATTTATCATGGAGAACCAGCAAGGACCTGCTGGCCAGCACAGGGACCTCTGCTCAATACCCTGTAATAACCTTATGGTTACCAGCGGGGAAGAAATAGTATTTTCTCTGTAAACTCCTATTTTCATATACAAAGTACATTTTAGAATTTAAAAAGCTATCTCAAGTCCTTTCTGGAAAGAGTGGAGTGTAAATTTCATCATCAATACGGTCAAAATGGAAAAAGAGGAGGGATGTGTGTATTTGTGTCTGCATGTGGCTGGGGAAGGAAAAAAAAATCTTGCTTCATCAGATGTTTCCCTTGAATTGTTTACAAAATAAATGTACTTGCTTTCTTTCCCTCTCAGTCACATCTGACTCTTTGCAACCCCACGGACTGCAGTCCACCAGGCTCCTCTGTCCATGGAATTCTCCATACAAGAATAGTGGAGTGGGTTGCCATTCCCTTCTCCAGGGGATCTTCCCAACCCAGGGATCGAACCCAGGTCTGCTGCACTGCAGACAGATTCTTCACTTTATTAGCCACCAGGGAAACCTCAAAGAAATGATGTGCTAATTTCCTAAACAAGTATGACCCATGAATTGCAATTTTATATCATATGCAACAGATACACATCAATGACACACACATCCACAGATTATTGTTAATACATTCTGAGTTCTGACACTGTAAATTGAAAGTACAAATTTAATGTACATGTCATCAGTACTCTGACAAATGCCAGGGGAAAATTTCATACTCTTTAGTACAGAAAGTTGAAAACTGGGAGGAATAGCTAGAAAACATCCAGTCCCAAGGTTTGAATTCGAATTGTAGGCGTCAATAAAATTGATTGTTAATAATTACATATAAAGAGTCGGACACGACTTAGTGACTGAACAGCAACAACAATCATGTATAAATTTTGAAAATATTATGAACTGACTGGATTAAAATCGTGTCTCAACTCAAGAACTATCCAGGTAAGATAGAAAAAAGGCCATGCTTTCAATATTGAAGTAACACAAATCTGTATCTAATTAAAAAAAAACTTCATAAAACATTTAAAGCATTATCAGTTCTTAAAGCTTTTCTCTCTCATTCAGTTTCACAGTTCACTGTTTTCTTACTTGCGAGATCTGTTTTACTTCATTGGATTTTGAAAAAGTTCTAAATTCCAGTCCAAATGTAAGGAATCAAGGAAGCATGCAAAAGGATTGGGAACAATTGTGGAGTGTCGGCCAACTTTCTTCTTTCAACAAAATGTATACGTTGCATGCTCTGAAAGCAAGCACTAAAGTTACCCAAATCGCTGGCCCCTGCAACACAGGCTGGGCTTTGCAAGTAGAAATGGTTTTATTCAAGCTGGCAAGTGTTTACTGCTGGCTAAGTTAGCAATCACAGGGACTTAAGTGTGCATCATGGTGTAATCAAATCAACTCAGTGCAAACTTCTTCACATATGAAAACGAGGTGTAAGTTGGAATCAGAAAACAAAGAAAGAGCTCTCTGTCCACGTGACTCTAATCACCATGTGCCAACCACCGTGCCCTGGAACCGAGAGAGAAAAACAGAGATGCTGTCTCCTCCTGTTGCTAGTTTCCTCGCCGAGCTAACAGGTCAAAAAAACCAAACACAGTGGCGGAGACAGATCTGGAACATTTGCTCCCACTGAGGGTGAAAGCAGAATGATCATAAAGTGAAAGTGTTAGTCACTCAGTCCCGACCGACTCTTTGCGACCCCGTGGACTGTAGCCCGCCAGGCTCCTCTGTCCATGGGATTCTCCAGGCAAGAACACTGGAGCGGGTTGTCATGTCCTTCCCCATGGACTGTAAGGCCATCAGGCTCCTCTGTCTCTGGGGATTCTCCAGGCAAGAATCCTAGGGTGGGTCGCCATGTCTCCAAGGGGATCTTCCCGACCCAGGGATCGAACCTGCATCTCTCACATCTTCTTCATCGGCAGGCGGGTTCTTTACCATCTGAGCCACTATGGAAACCCTGACACAGGGGGACGGCAGGACTATTTTCTGATTAGTGAGCTAAGTCGCCACAGTTATGATGTGAACTGCTGTTCCATCAATTGCTTTGCTGTGTAGTCCCCGTTAGAAACCCTTAACAACATTCCTTTTTTTTAAAATAAAATATGAAAGCAACGTTTATAGTGTGTAATCTGAATTCAGCTTTATGGTCTTCTCAGTCATTTTATTTAATTCTCTTTGACTTGTCTGTGTGTGCTAGTCACTCAGTCGTGTCTGACTCTTTAAAACCCCAGGGACTGTAGCCAGCCAAGGCTCCTCTGTCCATGGGATTTCTCCAGGCAGGAATACAGGAGTGGGTTGCCATTCCCTTCTCGAAATGATCATAATTTGTACAATAATTTGGATCTTCCAGTTGATGTAAGGGTTGTTCCGTACAACTACATACATCTCCTTTTCGTGAGGGTTTCAAAAACGCGACTTTGCGGGAGGGTGATTATTTTGAGGTCCACAGAAAGAAGTTGGGAAAGTTCCTTTCTGCACTGGAGCTTTCTAGACTGACCCCTGAGCTTGTCACGTTGCAGACGAGATGCTGAGGATTACGTGAGATTGTGCATACAGACAACCAGGTAATGCCGTGCAGAGTAGGTCACACCAGCTACTCAACAGGGCTGGACCCATGGACGTCTCTTTCCTTTCTCCACCGCTACACATTTCCTGTTTAACATTTCCAGATTCTTCTGTTATTCTGACCCAAATGCTATAGAGGTCAGAGCAAGGGTTGGCTCTGCTTCTCCAATGATATGACCACCCACAAGTCTCTAACATGCCCCCCTACGAGGCCCGGGCCTGAGACCTCTAAGGAGGGAACTGGGCCCCCTTGGAACTTACAAAGAACCATCTGCACTCTGAACTTACATGAAGACCGTCTCACAAATCCGTGGATTTAGTAATCTTTCAGAGGCGTTCTACTTAACAGTTCCACTGTTTACACGCACGGAAGGCAAATGTTGACGTTCTCTGTCAGTTATCTTGGACAATCCTCTGGGATTAGGTTGAAAAATATTATCGGTCTGAATGCAGATGAGAGAACATTTGGCATCTGTACAAGAGGTCTCTCCCCACGTCTTTCATCATCACTTAGAATTGACAAGTTCAGCGGCATAAGCACAAAAATGCTTACAGGTGAGAGAAAATTAAGTCGCAGTAAGAAAACACGTCAGTGTTAGTCGCTCAGTCGTGTCCAACTCTTTGCAAACCTGCGGATGGTCGTCACTCAGTCAAGTCCAACTCTTTGCAACCCAGTAGACTGTAGCCAGGCTCCTCTGTCCATGGAATCCTCCAGGCAAGAACACTGCAGTGGGTTGCCATTCCCTTCTCCAGGGGATCTTCCCCACTCAGAGAGCGAACCCAAGTCTCCTGCATGGCAGGCGGATTCTTTACCATCTGACCCACCAGGGGAGCCCAGTACATTCAAAGAAGGGCTCGGAAAAGCAGTGCACTCAGGGAAAAATGCCGTTGGATGCACTGGATGAAGGGGGAAATATTGCATGTTTTAATTAATACTCTACAGAATATGAATTAATTCTTATAAATCTCTCCTACCTCCCCATCTTTAGCTCAAAACTAAACTTGCGTTTTCATTACCCCACCTGCGCAACATGCTAAGATCAACTTTCTTGTGGCCGATGGTAAAACGAAAATGAAATACTAACAACAGCAGCTGATCGTTCTTGGATGCTTTGTAAAAAGACACCCTTACCTTCATTTTGGTGTAAAATGAAGGTGGTGGTAGTGGTGGGTTAGTCACTAGGTCGTGTCTGACTCTTTGCGACCCCATGGGCTGTAGCCTGCCAGGCTCCTCTGCCCATGGGATCACTCCAGGCAAGAATACTGGAGTGGGTGGCCATTACCGTACATTAAAATAATTAGTGTGGAAATCATGGGACGATGAACACAAACACATCGAATTCAGTAAAACACACAAATGCATAAGAAATGACCTAAATAGGAGGCCTCAGTTTCTCTCTGACTCCCCTGCAGCTCCAACGGTAAAGACGCTCTGTGATGCAGGAGACCAAGGTTCGATCCCTGGGTCGGGAAGCTCCTCTGGAGAAGGAAATGGCAACCCACTCCAGTATGCTTGCCTGGAGAATCCCACGGACAGAGGAGCCTGGCAGGCTATAGTCCATGGGGTTGCCAAAGAGTTGGATACCATTGAACACAGGCACACACACATAAATGATATATATGTAAATCAAAACAGCAGTTATAGTCCAGGAATACTGACAAGAATGAGCATCACTGAGATACAGCTTGCACTACTGAACTTCAACAATAAAAAGATAATTTCTCAGGCATGCAGGTAGAAAAGGCAAGCTGATTACAATGGGGAAAATAAGCTTTCTCCTGGGTTAATTTCTCTCTATCAAGTTTAATGTGTGAAGCCAGTAGAAAAATACATAATACTAAAAATATATATGTAATATAAATCACTATATAATATTAAAGAATATATAATAGTAAATAATAATATATATATTACTGTATAATACTAAAGAATATATAATAGTATATAACACTAAACAATATAAGATAATACTATATATACTGTATAAT